GTGTGATGAGAATGAGAGGTGAGCTGAGGAGTAGAGAAATAGATTTGAGTGTCATCAGTATAGAAATAGTATTAGGAGCCATGGGAGGTTATCAGCTAACCAATGGAGGAGGAGTAGATAGAGAAGAGAAGGGGTCTGAGGACAGAGCCCTGGGGGACCCCTACTAAAAGAGGGAGAGGAGAGGAGAGGAGGAGGTAAAGTTTTAGGTGACAGTGTGTTGAGATATATAGTAGGAAAACCAGGGAAGAGCTGAGTCTTAAAGTGCAGTTTTTTGAGGATGAGCGGGTGGTCTACTGTGTTAAAGGCAGCAGAAAGGTATTGTCCATTGTTTTTAGTAAATAATAAGTCTTAGTGGGTTTTGGTGTTGTGGGGAAAAAACCAGACTGTAGGGGGTCAAGAAAGTTGTTATCAATGAGATGGCTCCTCAGACCGTTGTAGAGAAGGTGTTTGAGGAGTTTGAAGGTAAATGGAAGCAAGGAGATGGATTTTAGGTTCTTTAAACTGGTGGGGTCCAGCGAGGGCTTTTTAGGCATTGGGCTGACTAGCACATGCTTTAGAGGGGAGGGGAAGAAACCAGTGAGAGGGAGAAATTGAAGATGTGAGTTAGATAGGGTAAGATAGAGCAAGAGGGGGATAGTAGTAGTTTTAAGTAGGGCTGGTAATGATTAAAATTTTCCTGTTCGATTAATCGAAATTTTTTAAAATCGATTGGATGGGAGAGACTCTGGGATGGGAGGCGAGCATGGGAGGAGTTGATGAGGGAGCTGGAAAGCAGGAGGTCTTTGGAAGAGCAGAGGGGACGGTTAGGGTGATACTTTGAGACCAGGTTTGAGATATAGTCGGGGGCAGAGTTGTGGATGGCATTGTAAGTTATTAATATTTTTAATTTTATCCTTTGGGTGATTGGAAGCTTGTGGAGGGATTGACAGGGGGGTTTGCAGACACTGAGTGGTTGGTTAGGTGGATGAGTCTAGCAGCAACATTCATGATAGACTGAAGGGGGATAGCCTGTGTCGTGGTTGGCCAATGCGGATTGAGTTTCAGTAGTCAAGACGGGAGATAACAAGGGAGTGGATGAGTAATTTTGAGGTTTCATTGGTGAGGAAGGGGCGTATTCTGGAAATGTTACGAAGGTGAAGGCGGCAGGATTTGGATAGTGATTGGATGTAGGGCAGAAAGGGAAGGTTGGAGTCAAGAATCACACTTAGCACCTTGGCATGGGGGGAGGGATGAATAGTTGCGTTATCAATCCCAACAGAAAAGTTGGGGGAGGGTGCATGAGGAAGAGGAAATATCATGAGCTCAGTTTTTGAAAAATTGAGTTGTAAGAATTGTTTGCGACATCCAGATGGATATGTTAGTTAGTAGGTTAGTGTCTAGTGTGTCAAGAATCCCAAGGGGGTGAGTCATGGAGTGGAGAGATATATTTGAGTGCCATCGGCATAGAGATGCTATTGGAATCCATGCGAGGTTATCAATTGCCAAAGAGAGCAGGTGTAGAAAGAGAAGAGAAAGGGTCCAAGGACCGAGCCTTGGGGACCCCTAATGAAAGAGGAGAGGCAAATTTGTAGGTTCATTAGGCAAGTACATTTATTTCTGTATTATTTTACTGAGTATGGTAATGGAGTCTCTGTGTCCTCAGGTCCCATCCAGAATGAATGCTCTGGTGACTTTGCTTTTGCTGGGGTGGTTGGGTCTGGTTTGGTGCTGCACCCCTCAACCTGGAGGTAAGTATAATACAAAGGATAAAAAGCAAATAATAATGACTATGGGGCACTAGATGAGGAGGAAGGTCTGAATACACTCTCAACACAGCAGCTAGTTGATATACAGAAAAATGGATTTGCTTTGCAGAGCTTTGTGTATCAATCCGCTGTATATTAGAGGAAGCTGCTGCAATCTACAAAGTTCTAATACCCCCAAATATCAGAATTATATGTAACTGTATAAGTAGGGGTGAGGAGATTTCTGCACTCAGGACATGGGACAAGAATACATTCTATTATAATGAAAGATAAACATGGAAGTATGTAACAAGCAGGTTGGAAGGAGTGAGGTGGTGCTGATATCAAGGTGAGAGCCAAAAATCATCGCCTCCTCAATCCTGAGTAAGAGGAGAGTCCGTTCCTTAAAACATACTGAGTGACAGCTGGAAAGCCCTGTATTGAACACGAGGGGCTGAATCTGAGATAATCTGTTTTGTCATTGACCAAACAAGGCCATGTGGCTTATAAGATCAATGATGTCACCATCATCTCAACCCATTGTTTGCATGCAGCTGCAGAACGTGGAATGCCCCGGTCTGCAGCTGATTAGACCGGCACTGACAGCTTCCTTCTGGGGTGATCAGTCCAAAACGGATCTCATCCCTACTGAACACCTAAATGTATAAGGATGGCTTTCCTGACTCAGACCTCACACCTTGCTGGCCACCAGTGTGAGGTTCTTATGTACTGGAACACTGTGTTACTCCATGCCTGTCGTTACAGACAGCTTCCCTTCACTGACAGATCCCAGAGATAGAGCCAAGAAAGAAACTGGACTGGAGTGTCATTCAGGTGAACAATAAATCACGCCCAGTCTGATAAGCAAACACCTCTGTTCCAGCCCTGCAATGGGGGTCACAATGGACGGCTCTGACTCTAAAAGGAAATCACAGCTGTATTTCACATTGTAACTTTGTATCCATTCCAATACACTGTGATAGCTGAGAGCATGAATAGCCGCGCACATACTGATATATTGATGAAAAGAACTCCTTCAGGTATTTTACAGAGATACTTTATTGTTGTTGTATACAAAACACAGCAAAAATGTGTCCAATACAATACCAGCATCATAATTCTTGTATCAAATTACATAAATACTTTATTTAACAAGAAGAAAATAGAAATACATGTAAATATTATCAACTCTACACCACCCCCTATGATAATTCAACTCTACACCACCCCCTATGATAATTCAACTCTACACCACCCCCTATGATAATTCGCAGGAGTGCTTCGGCGAGGACGGGAGCAGGATGGAGGGTCAGGAGAGGCAGATCCTGGTGGTGGGAGAACCACCAGGGACAGGGAAATCTGTCATTGGAACCGTGAGCGTCGAACAGTGTGCTGCCTGCCGGGGGCTCGTGTTCGACACATTGCGGAACGAATTGACAGATTACTAGATGGGGTTGGGCACAACCCCGTTGTCATGGTGCACATCGGCACCAATGACAAAATAGGAGGAAATTGGAGTGTCCT